CGCCCAGTTCACTCCCACCAGCCTTGGACAGACGTGTCAGGGTTGCCCGTAGCCTCACCAGCTCTTGGGTTATGTCCAAGTCCACCGAGGGTGCCAAGGCTGTCGTTGGCATTCAGGTGTGCCTTTCCCTGGATTCTAATGAGAACGCGTCTCTTGTCACATCTTAATGTTCCTTGGGATTTCCTCGTTTCCAACATGCCTGTGAAGGTGTCTCTCCGTTGTTCAACTGGTTTTCGTCTTTTTCTCGTTAATTTCTCTACCTTCCAGATAGGAGCCCTCTGATTCTTGTACATGAGCTCTAAAAAGATACGTGCCACACGTTTTCATTTTCGTAGTAGAGTCTTTTGACGAATAGATGTTCATCATTTTAATGCAAACCAACTTATCGATCTTCTTAGTGCTTTTTCAAGAAACCGACTTAAGAAATCTCTCTCTGCCCAACGTGGTGAAATACTTTTCTTTTGATTGTCTTGTTGTTTTGCTGTTCACTTTGAGAACTTCAATCTGCCTCGAGTGGAGTTGTGACTATGCTGTCAAGGTGGGATCTGCCTCCCCGCTGCCCACCGCAATGCTTTCAAGATGCCCCGGCACTGTTTATGGGAAGGAACATCCCCCTCGATGCATTATTATTTTGTCAAACATCAAAAGACCCACAGTCATTGAGTCCATTGTCTCAAAGACACCCTTTACAGAGTTTGAGAGGCTACAAATCTTGACAAGATCAGGGAGCCTCATCTTTCTTCTGTGGAGCGGCTGGCGGCTTTGAACTGCCTGCTTTGTGGTTTCAGCTCAATTTTAACTGACAGCACAGCCAGGGCTCCTTTGGCACCCACAGATCGGGTGTCTGCGTAATTGGAACTTCCTGTTCTGCTTCACTGGCATGTGGTTTGTTGTGATGAAGCACACTAGCTTCATCTTCTGATACCCAGCAGGAGGTGTCTGATGCCTGTTCTTGGAAAGTGTCCAGGTTAGTCTTTGCATTTCTGTAAGCAATCTAGAATCAGCTGGCTACATTCCATGCACACGCTTTCTTACATACGAGGGACTACCCTCCCAAAAAATGATGCTCATTTGTTTTTCTGATGTGAGGGGAATAGTGCATTTGGAGTTTGTTCCACCAGGTCAGGCTGTCAATCAAGCTTTGTGTTTGGAGGTTCTGAAAAGATTGCATCACAGTGTGTGATGCAAAAGACCTGATTCGTGGCAGAAAAGGGACTGGTTTTGCTATCACGACAATACACCTGCTCATGCAACCATCTCGGTGCACCAGTTTGGGGCAAAAAACAGCATGCCTCTCTTGCCCACGCGCCTGACTCACCTGATCTAGCTCTGTGCAACTTCTTTTTGTTTCCTTGACTGAAGAGGGACATGAAAGGACAGCGATTGGAAGAGGTGAAGGAAAAAACGAGTGAGGTGTTGTCAGTCATCCAAACAGATGAGTTTGGAAAATGCTTCCAAGAATGGAATTGCCGATTTGACAAATGTATTAAGTGGCATGGAGAGCACTTTGAAGGTGATAAAGCTATTTTAAAAGAAAATTAAATATGTAGCTTTGGGGGGGAAATTCTGGGGTTTGGGGGGTACCCCTAATATACCCTTGCCAATAAGACAGCAAACATTTTGAGGACAATATCCCTGTCCAGTTCATCTTTGCTCCTCCTAGCTTCCAGTGATGGCGGGGCGGTCCTCAAACAAACTCACTGCTGTCATGTCTACCCAGTGGGACAGAGTAGAACTGCCCCTGTGGGCTTCTGAGCTCATGGGTTCTTACTGGAAGAGAAAGAGTCATCTTTCTCGAGAGGAGCGGTTGGTGCCTTTGAACCTGTGACCTTGAGGTTAGCAGCCTAGTGCACAATTCACTACGCTCCAGGCTCATACGGTGGGAGAAAGAAGCCCTGGTGGCACAAGGGTTAAGCGCTTGGCTGCAAACCGAAAGGTGGGCAGCCGGAATGCACTTGGAGGCTCCATGGGCGAACGCTCTGGGCATCTGCGTTTGTAGAATGGTGATGTAGGACAGGTGAGGCACTTCCACTCTGTCACATGAAACTGGACTCAAAGGCACCGAACGGCAGTAACATGGGTAAGGGGGGGCCTCAACCACCAGGTGGTCCTCCTGGGTTTCACTTCCCGGACACATTAGTCACAACCTTGGTGGCACCATCGGGCAAGCTTTGGCCTGCTAAACCCACTGGCAGCTCCCCAGAAGGAAACAGGCTGGCTGGTCCTATAAAGACATGCAGCCCTGGGGACCCTGCGCAGGGCCGCTGTGAGCCAGACTCCCCTCAGTGGCAGTATGGTGTGTGCAAACAGAGGTCGCAGCTAGATCCCTGGGCCCTCCGCCTTCTAGAGAATGTCCTGCTGGCTTTGTGCACCTGTCACATGCCTGGAACTATCTAAATGGGCTTGGTGAGCAGGCTTTCAGAGCAGGCTGTAGACAAGCCTGAGAGGCCAGAACCAGAGTCTCAGGGACCCTCTGAGCCCTAGTGAGGTTCCAGATCACCCCTGCTTTGGAGGCCTGGCCTGTTCCCTGCTCCTCGTGGCATGGAAAGAGGCAGACTGGGATGTCAGGTGCCTTGGGCCTCATTGTAGTAGAATAAACAACACTCACAAACACAGATACACACACACAGACACGCCAAAGTCACTGCCAGCAAGTAGATTCTGACTCATGGTGGCCCTGTCGGACAGGCTAAAAGCCCTTGTGCGTTTCTGAGACGTAAACTCCTTATGGGGGTAGAAGGCCTCATCTGTCTCCTGTGGAGCAGTGTGTGGTTTCGAACTGCTGACCTTGTTGTTTAGCAACCTAATGTGTAACCCACAGTGGCACCAGGGCTCCCTAGAATAAACACAGATATTGTATGTTTTCTTTAAAGAAGCATTTTCACATTCCTATGCCAGATTCTAAAAAGCTTGATGAATATTTACTCATCTAAGCCCTGCCTCAACTCTGAGGTAGGTCTAACAGGGGCCCCATGTTACAGATGTGGAAACCGAGGCACAAGGAGAGGAAGTGCTGTGCCCAGTGTTCACAAGACGAGGCAGTGGTGGCGCGGGGCTTTGAACCCAGGCCGTGTCTACACTGACCCACCTCACAAGGCCGCCTCAACGTGGTGTTTTTAGGAGACTGAGAAACCTGCTAGCAGGCCTTAGGCTAGCTGGCTTCCCGCTGCAGCTCCCTGAGAGACCGGTTCTGCTACTGTGGAATGAACTTCCATGGTCAGGGTCACTGAAAGGATTGTAGCAGCGTCCCCATAGCCCAGAGTGCAAAGTAATTGATGATCAGAAGGTTGGAAGGGCCGGTCTGTGATGTTTCCCTCTCTGCTCTGCCCGGGCATCCAGGGGCTGCAGACGGCAGGGGGCAGCGCTGGGCCACAGCGTAATGGGCTCTCCTTGGACTGGATTTGCTTGCTGCTTTCCACAGGGGTCCTGGATTGTAGTGCCTGATCATGCATTTCTCACCCAGCCCATGTGGGACGCTTCTGCTGAAGAAGTAAGAACAAAACCAACTCCTGGTGGGACTCAGCCGAGGAAGCAAATGCTGGCATCCTTCTGCAAAATCATAACAGGCCTCACGCTCCCCCAGGACAGCAGCGTTCCCTACAGACCTACCTCTGGGTACTTGCTGCTGGTCTGAGTGGTTAATGCTAACGATTTTTCTGAAGTAAAACCGGGTGCCTCCTCTTGCCTGAAGGCCACCTCCCATGTCCCCACCCCGGGATTGTCCCTTAGAGGATGTTGGAGAACTGAATGCTCCGTTGGAGGCTCACGTGAAGTCTCTCTCAGGAGGGGTCACTCGGTGGACTCTCCACCGGGACCCCATTTCATGGCCAGGGCCTGCCATGTGCTCATAGCTGATGGAAATGCTCAAAACCTGAACCCCTGTGACAGCAACTACAGATAACGGCCCCAAAGACGGGGTGGGGTGGTGGAAATGAACACACGTCCAATTAAATCTTCTCAAAACATCCCTTGGCATCGGCTTTGCCATTCATTAAAGTGTGTGCTCGTCTCAGTACATTTGAAAAAGAATTGGTAGCTGGGGTTTCTCTCCCCCCAGGAGGAGTCCAGAGTATGCAAGGTGTCCTGAGAAATTGTAATGAACCATTAGTTCAGTGGGTGTCAAGAAGCGAAGACATGACATCAAAATGACCAAATAGCCTTTTCTAAAGACTTAGGACATGGGGCTGCCAAAAGAGCTTCAAAGACCAATTTCCTCTGTTTTCTCACAGAAAAATAAAAGTGTGTAACCCCACCCCCCAAAAATGTTTAGAACGAAAGAGATGTTTCATTAGAAATGTGGGTGGATTCACACACATTTGTTAACATGCAGTGTAGGAGGCCTCTCAAAGGAAGCCTGCTTCAGGCCCATACCTACTCCACACGGTCCCGCCCAGGGTCTGTGGATTCCTGGGGGTGCAGGGCGGTGGGGGGCGGCTGTCCAGAGGTGTGGCTAGAAGATCACAGAAACCTTTACGGAGCAAAAGCATCCAAATGTAATGCCATCGCTTCTTGACATCCCTCCCTTCCAGATGCACAGGCTGCTGACTGTGGGGTGTGCACTCTCGGAGCCACCCCGAAGGATTCTGCACCCTGATTTACACCCCTTCCAGTCAGCAGTCTGGGCTTCCTCGGGGGACTCGGATCGGATCGTGTTTCTTTTCAATGTTCTTTGAGTTTGGGAAACAAAAGAGAAGTCTGAAAGGGCTGGCTCAGGGCTGAGGGTGGGTGGGGTGAGGCACCCCAGTCGAGTTCTCGTAAGACAGCCCTGCTACCCTCAATGAATGAGCATGGGCTTTGTTGGGACAGAAGCAGAATTCCTCCGGGACACTTTCCCAGCCTCTACCTCCCCGAGGAGTTTCAGACCAACTCCAGTACATGTGCGTGGAGCTGGGCGTCCGCCGCTCACTCTAAGTCCATCTCCTTGACCTTGGAGGGGTCTGCTCTTTCGACAGCATTTGCGTTTTGTTGTATCTGACTGTGGCTTCGTCTTCTCCTTTCAGGAATCCTGTTCACCATGCTGGTATTTGGACCAGCCTGCGGGTTTATCCTGGGCTCTTTCTGTACCAAGATCTATGTGGATGCGGTCTTCATTGACACAAGTAAGGATGCCATCTGAACTTTCGACTTTCACAGCAAGCGTTTCCTCCTGGCTTCAAGGAGGCTTGGGCCCAGAGGTTCTAGCACAGCGGTTCTCAACCTGTGGGTCACGACCCCTTTGGGGGTTGAACGACCCTTTCACAAGGGTCCCCCAGTTCTTAAAAGTAGCAAAATGACAGTGATGAAGTAGCAAGGAAAATAATTTTATGGTTGGGGGGTCACCACAACATGAGGAGCTGTATGAAAGGGTCATGGCATTAAGAAGGTTGAGAACCACTGTTCTAGAATCTTTCTACTGAGAGAGCTGCAAGGCTCGCCCTTGTAGTTCTCATAACTGAAATGCTAACCTCACTGATAAAGGGTTGATGCTGACCAGGCATAGTGGTCCTGTCGGACAGGGTGGAACTGTCTCTATGAGTTCCTGAGACGAGAACTAATTACAGGGATAGAAAGCCCCTTCCTTGCCCCAAGGAGTGGCTAGTGGTTTCACACTGATGACCTTTCCGTGAGCAGCCCGATGGGTAATCGCGATGCCACCAGGGGTCCTAAGTTCTTATCACTGTACATCTGTAATTCCCTAACATATCTTCGTAGCAAGCTTACCCTATCCAAAGCCCAATTAGAACGTTACGTAGACACCCCTAGCTTAATTGCACATTTCTGAATGAACCTTTGTCACCATACATACCACCTCCCTTATTGTTCATTCATCACCAAGCGTTGAGAAACTAGCGACCTACACAGCTTATACCCTCTTCTCAGGACCTTTCACCTAAAATCACCACTCATTCCCCTTAAATAAGGCCTCTTGGTGGACTTGCGACTCATCAGCCCAGGCTCGCACATAACTACCATGCCGTGCATTTGCTCTTCTTATGTTTGGGGGATGCTGCTATATCCAGCTAAGCTTTCTGAGGTCATAACTAGTCAAATTCCTTGTAGCCGAGCTTAAATTGCGCTGTTAATCCGGACATCTGGGATTAGAAGGCAAGACTGTTGCTCCTCCTTCAGGGGACCTGGGTTCAAGTTTGAGTTCTGCCCGTACCTACTTGGGTTTGTAGAGTTGATTTTTGCCCAAGTGACTTGTGTTTGTCTTGGGAAATTAAGGATAACAACACTTACTCTACAGTTCAGATCTACCCAGAGACTCTAGGAAGCCAGAGCTATTGTAGGACTTGAAGGAGAGGGTAGAGATAGAAAGGTCTTCCACATACTCACACTCACTATATGAAGACCCTGTTTCCTAAATGATACGTTAGAGCCTGTTGTCTGGATGCACAGCAATGCAGAGGCCCACAAAAAGTTCATGGAAAAATTCCAGTTTCTGCCAATTTCATTTTGCCACAGCTTTTTAAAAAATTCCCCTCATTTAGGAAATTCCTTTCTAGAAGAGACTACTGTGACGGCCTTAGTAATTTTAGATAAAACATCTGGTCTCATAGCAGAAAGAATGAATATATTCCTCAGATTGAACTGGGACTCCCCAATCCATGATTCCGTGATTCAATAGTGCACCAGTCAAGATGGGTTTATATTATGTTATAGTAAAATCTACCCCCGATTCTAAGTGGTTTTATACACCAGAAATTCATTAAAATGTTTTCTTTTATTTTGCCGCACAACCTACCCAGCCAAACTTTTTTTGGAAGAAGTGGTGAAACTAGGGGATATCGTTGCCAACTTCAGTGTGGCTCTGGCCTGGAAGGAGAGAACACCAGGACGGGGTGTACTTGTGTTTTGATTAGGCTAAAGCATTTGACTGTGTGGATGATGCCAAATTATGGTGAACATCATGGAGAATGAGAATTCCAAACCACTTCATTGTGCTCACATGCAACGTGTGCATCTAGCCAAGGGAATACCCTTCCATCCGAACAGGGGAATACTGCGTAGTTGAAAATCAGCTGTATCTTTTCACCGTGTGCTGAGGAAGCCTTCTGAGAAGCTGGGCTACGTCAGAATTGGAAGGAGTCTCCTTAACAACCTGCAATAAGCAGATGACACAACTTTGCTTATGGAAAGCCAGGAGGACAGGAAGCACTTAACTGATGAAAATCAAAGACTTCAACTGCCAGCATAAATGACCACTCCATGTATAGAAACCACAATCCTTATAACTGGACCAATGAACAACATCCTGATGAACAAAAGAAAGATGAACGTTGTCAAGGATCTCAATGGACTTGGGTACGCCATCAGCATTTATAGAAGCAAGAGCTAATAAATCAAATGGCATATTGCTGTGAGCAAATCTACGTCAAAGAACTCTTTCAGGGGTTTAAAAACAAAGGTGTCACTTTGAGAACTAAGGCACCCCTGACCCAAGCCATGGTCTCTTCGATCTCCGCCTGTGCATAGGAATGATGGACAGCGAATCAGAACGACCAGAGAAGAACTGGTGCATTTGAATCGTGGTGCTGCGGAGAAATCCTGGGAGTTCCTCGCACTGCCGGAAGAACAAGGACGTCCAGTCAGAATGCTCCTTGAAAGGGAGGACGGCAAGACTTTGCCTCGTGAACTTGGAATATGTTATCAGGATGGTCTAGTCCCTGAAGAAGGACATCATCGTTGGTCGAGCAGAGGGTTCATGAAAAAGAGGAAGCCCTGAAATGAGATAGAGTGGCACGGTGGCAGTGACACATAGGACAATTATAGGGATGGCTTGTGAGAATGGTGCAAGAGCGGGCAGCCCTTCCTTCTGGGTGGGACTAGACTCAAGGGCACCCAAGGACAACGACACATGCATAGCACAGGATGGTGGCCTTGGGGAAGATATTACTTGGTTTATTGTAGTCTCCTGGCAATCTGAGTCGATAGATGTTTCATCCAGACCTTTCCTGCTACGGCGGCCCAAGTAGGAAACGAGACTGTGATAAGTTGCACACCAATTCTTAAAGCTTCTTCCCAGAAATAAGACGCATGGTTTCATCTCGTGCTTCTTTGACCAAAACAAGTCGTGTGATGTTAGCTTTCTATGCTGCATAACAAGGAGCCCTAGTGATGCAGGGTTCCGACCTAGACTGCTAACCACAAGGTCAGGAATTCGAACCCCCTAGGTGCTCTGTGGGAGAAAGAGGGGGCTTCAGGCTCTCATAAACACACAGAGGGCAGTTCTGCTCTGCTCTGCAAGGTCACGATGAGTCAGGGTTGATGGTGGAGAGGAGTGTTTTGAGTGCTGCTACAAAACAGATTGCCCCTACCCTGGGTGTCCCTGGGTAGTACAAACGGTTCGGTGCTTGACTGCTCACTCAAAGGTTGTCAGTTCAAACCCATCCAGGGTGTCTTTAGGCTGAGAGCAGCTGAGCATGAGCTGGCTCAGATCCTATAAGAGCCTCGAGTAAAGGCATTGGCCGTCTCTGCAATCCTCTCAGGGCTCATCCAGGGGAGGGGCCCTTCCAAGCCCACTCAGGTGGCAAATTGCAGAAGACCCACTTCCAGGCTCTTGTGGGCTTCTCTTCATGACCTGCGCTGGGACAAGTGGCCCAAGAGAGGGTGACAGAGCACCTGAGACAGAACGCCTCAGGTCTCAGAAGGGACTGCTTCTGTTGTGCGTGGTTCCTGAGAAGTCAGCTCTTTGTCCCTGGCCACATTCCAGACTCAGTCAGAAGGGTTTGCACGGGCCCGCAGTCCCAGCAGGCAAGGCTCATTGGGGGCTATCTTAGGCGTTGCCCACCTCAAGTGGCCGCTAAAAGAGAACACTCCATGTCTGTATAACTCAGTAAAGATGGAAGCCATGTTCTTTCTCTCAAAATAGAGAAAGCCATCCCATGGCCTTTCCAGGTGGATCTGAGAGTCAGTAAGAACTCTGGGCCCATCATCTCTCGGCAGTGCGCAATATACTAATAATGTGGCTTTAAATCCAATCAAGTCACTTTGTAACTCACTCCATTAATCCCATCGATATATTTACTCGAAGCTAATGATGTTACAAATTTCCAAGTTGGGGGAAAAAAGTTCCACCACAACTTTATTTATCCTTTTGAAGTGCCGAGTCTGTGCGGGAGGGCAATGAGCCCTGTTCATTCCCTGATTCGTAGGGAGTGGCTGAGGGTGGACTCAACAGTACAGGCTCAGCTGCACCTGCCACCTTCTGATAGGCACAGCAAAGCCAGCATCCACAGTTTTGAAGCGCACAGGCACACAAGACACACGAGCACAAGGGGTTCCGGGAGGGGCTGGTCCCAGTGCAGTGGGGCAGCCATGCAGGCAGCACATGTTTGCCTCTGGGCCTCTCAGTGGTGACACCATTGGGTCAGGACCCAAATGCCTAGGGATTTCCAGGGAAATGCAGGATGATGGAAAAGTTTGCACTCAACTCTTAGCCTGAAGGTTGGCAGTTCCACACACCTAGCAGTGCCCAGGAGCGAGTCCGAGCAAAGACTACTGCCCAGGAAAGCCCAGGAGCAGTCCCACTCTGAAATGGAGGGGGTTGCCTAGAGTTGCATCCGCTCTGCCGTAGTGGTTTGGGTGCCAGAGAACTTCCCGAGTATTGGTCCAGAATGAACCACAGCCGTAATCCGTAATCCGCTGCTGGCTTGTGAGTTTAGGAGCTGAGGCTCAGAGACAGAAAGGTCCATTCTATGGCTTGTACCTCTGCAAACACCAGGTTGCTACAACCACACAAGCATTCGCTCCTTCACACTCGCTCCTGAGAGTAAAACAGCAGCATTTCTCCGTGTCCCGAGTGGCCCTGGGGCTTACTTTCCACTCACCCTAAGCCCTGCCTTTCCTAGGTTGTGCCCAGCCTGGAATGCTGCCCCTGCCCCATTCTGTTCAATAGATCCTCCAGTCTCATGGATGAAGGCACTTCGTCCACGGTTCTAGGGTGCTCAGCAATGTACCACATCCGAGTGAGTAAGACAGATGGGGGACTGTCAGCTCCGTTCCCTTCAGGGCATCTTACTGATGGCAATCGCCCTGCAAGGAGGTGGTAACGGGCGTCTCCACCTGTTTCCAGAAATGGAAGGAGGAGTGGGCTTGGTGCGTCACCGCCTTCATCTGC